GAATATATTCTCATGTAACATATTTTCCGGACTAAATATTTAACTTTGCACCACACTAAACTTCTTCTTTTAAAAACTTCTTCTTTTGTTCAACAACGAACAAAAACTGGTGTGTGGCATTAATAATGATTGAAGTAAACTATGCTCGTGACTAACGCTTACGTTACATAGGAAATGTTAGCCATGACTCATCTAGATGTGTGAAAAAATAGCTCCTTTGATAAAAGACTTCGTTTGATCATAAAGTGGGAAAAGATGATGAGATTACGAGAAAAAAAAAGTAAGTATAGGTCGGGTTGATTTCTGAACTTGATTCACTGGCCATATACAACTGTAGAGAATATATTGAAAATGGGAGCCGGACGTTTTCCCGAAAGACACTTGCCCAAATGCCGTTTGCCCGAAGGCCGATTTCCCGAATGGACACTTGCCCGAATGCGACAAATGCCCGAATGGACACTTGCCCGAATGCGACAAATGCCCGAATGCCACTTGCCCGAAGGCTGTTTGCCCGAAAAATGTTAACATTTATATATTACCAAATAGTCATTCGTAATCAATTTAAATTTGAAATGTTGATAAACAAAATATATTTACGCCGCCTAGGCCATGTCATAAGCGCAATATGACAGTAAATGTTACGTTTCATCGGTGCGGTCCCCCTCAATGGTGACACCAGATAACGAGCCGCTTTGCCCGCCCCACCCCCACCCGTCTCCCCACTTCGTGACCCCATTTAAACGAATCTGTAATGTAATTGACACATTTTAATGTAACCACATTTTTGTACCAGATTAAAACGGTTGACTTTGGCCTGCTTATAATGTTGGGCGGTTTTTTAAAACCTAATTGTAAAAGAGCACTTGACCTCTGAAAGCAATGTGTAAGAGATTACATCAGCAACTAATATGTTTCATAAAGAAAGAAGGAATAGTTTGGTCATTGCTCTTTATAGTTAATTTATTGTCACAAACTAGCTAGAAAAGAGCTACTAGAGAATTTATAGCAGATTCGAAGGCTCTCATATAATTATTTTTATGTTCGATAGTAGGGTTAATCTTGCAAGCACGTAGCATGGTATATACGCGAGTTATTTCCCTTAGGTGTAGTGCTGGGGAAACTATTGAAACGTATTATGTTTTACGAGCTGACCCGCGACGTAGCATACGCCGCTATTTAGTTTAATTATTATTTTTTCAATAATTCATAATTTGTGAATTCGACACTACCAATGCTGCGACTGAAAATATTTGCTTTAAAACACTATCAGTAGCTCGTGGGGGGCGATAATCCTCACCATCACTCCCCCCACTCCACCTCCGTGAAAGCAGCCGTCTGTGACGACAGTTTACAGACGACCATGAAAAGAGGAAGCAGAACATGTTATTCCCTCCCTTTAAATCCAAATCGTTTAAAAACTAAATTATCTGCCCCAAATAGCCGTCACTGCGATTTTAAATAGCTCACAAGACTGTTGGGGTGCGGGTGGTAGCGATATGATCTGTTGAGCTTACGACTTGGTCTCCACGTATAGAATTATGTATATGTAGATTACTTTTTCTTAGATTTTGTACTATTTTACCTGAATATTGCCCCTTCAGATACCTCTGGATGCCTAAACTACAAATCGTAATTCTAAATTTCTGATCTAGAAATTGAAACAAAAATGACCTTTTAACATTTTAAACAGAATCTATCTCTGTCTTCTACTTTCTTTTTCTACGTTCTTAAGTTTAGTGTTGGAAGAAATCCCCCTCAACAAAGTATTACGTGTAAAGTTCTTATGCGCAATCAAGGCCGTTAACTCCGATCTCAGCTTCATTTTCTTTTTGGATTTGCTTCCATAGCGTTTGTCCAACCAAAAACAAACTACAAGGCAGCAGTTGTTTGATTTTTGAGTTGTCTCTCCTAGTTGTCCCCAGGTATCGAGCCTCATCTGCCCGGGAATCCATCTCTAAATGTAGATCTACCTCTTGTATCCAAACCTACAGCATTACTGCAACACAAACAAGAGAACCGCTAACGCAATTCTAAGAGCAACAAAGCATTCAGCCACAAAAACTTTAAAAAAAAAAAAAAACACATTTTTTTTTAAAAAGTCAATGAACAAATTAGCATAATTTAAAGACAGCCATATACAAATTGCTTCTAGCATAAAATTTTTCTGATGAAACGGATTGTCTTTAATTTAAAGATAAACTAAAAAGGTTAAAGTTGAGTTTTTTTTTTATAACTGTCACGTGAGTACAATCCTATCTATCCACGACAAGAGAGTTTGAAATAACAGATATCAGACCAATTTGATACGAAAATTTTCGAGAAAATCACGAACGTTAGCCTATATCGTTATCAGTCACTATGTAGTGTGTAACACTGGTGAAAAATGTGAAACAACAAACTAGGTATACATGATTGATAAGGAAACGTGCTGCCCTGTGTTAAAGGGAGTCAAAAAGGTGTTTTTTTCAGTGTACTGAGATGCGGCTAAATACTGAAATAATGTTTAATTGAGTTAAAGATTTCTTTCCAAAATGATTGTAACCATATTTGTAAATATACGATAACATCGTAAAGAAATAAAGATATTATATAAGTTGTTTCAATTTACCAGTAAGATGAAAGTTTATTCCAGATCTGTATTCAATGGTGAGCAGGGAGGAGCAGCCACCCTCATTGAGAGAATTATGGGACGGTGACGCCTTCTTCTCAAAATTTTAATTAATTAAAACAAGCAAGAAGAGGATGTGGTCAATAAATTAATGTAGGTGAAGTGGATGAGCATAAAATGGGCTTGGTGTCTGCACTAAACAGTTAGTTAATAAAGGCGCTTATCTTGAGGCTGGCCAAAGTACTACATGGTGTTAAACGTGTTTGTAAAATTTGTCTGCCATAGTTAAACCAATACTCCGTCACTCATGTACGTTGGCATCAAAGTTGTTGGTTAGAAAAGCATACATGGGCTTATAAATACTTGTTAGCACTCTCACATCAATATTTGTCACGTAGTCTTCGTGAGCAATAAATGATCATCTTCTTCAACTCAGTCTGAACTATACTCTGTTCAGTAGCTTTCCCAGGGTTAAACACGCCTACTACCTGATATTGTTTTCACATCATTTCTGTTGCCTGTTTTTTTTTTGTTTGTGTATTTTTCCATCTATTCAAAGCTTTTCGGGATTCATAGCTATGTGAATAATAGGGATGAGATGGCATATTAAACACACGCGCGCGTATATATATTATATATGTTAATATACATATATATATCTATATATATATCTATATATATATATATATATATATATATATATATATATATATATATATATATATATATATATATATATTATAGGCCTATATATATATAAGGCTGAAGCCATTTTTGGTTCACTCGCCGCTTGTTCAAACCCGAACCTGCATACGCCCCATGGCTATATTACGGACTTCTATTTTCGAAAAATAAACCCGTTAACAAATCGTGCTGATAGAAAAATTAGTGGGCGTATCGCATTCAAATGATTTTATATCTATGTTTTATTTCATACTTTCGTTATACATAATATATTTTAAAAGTTGCAAAGTAATAGAATCGAAGTCTCTTCGATTTCATGTTGTGTAAAATGATTTGAAATTTCAGAATCAATTTCATTAAAACCAAGTTGTCTGCAAAAACAGGTCGAATTAAATATTTAAATCAAAACTGAAAACCAATATAATTTAATTTTTCACACCCAGAAGCTGTTAATACATAAGGACAGGAAACGTATTTGGATTTTTTACTTCTAAATATACTTTTCTTCTATCTGTTGTTTTTACAATATTCTAGACTAAATAACTTGTTTGGTAGGTTTTTGTTTCTTCTATTTATTTTCAATTTATTTATATTAAAAGTAATCCAATAATGTATACTAAAACTTTTGTTCCGTGCATGTTACATTACATACAATGTTACGAAACTAACGTCATGTACTTCAACCCATCAAGCATTAACAAGTGAAGCACAGATAATGATATCGCTTTATCTTAAACCAACAGTGTTGGTGTGTGCAGTTTTGTTTTTATCTTTTGCCATGTAATTAATGTAATACAAAAACTAGTATAGTCAGGCCACCTAAAAGATAACATGTTTAAACATTTGTTAGAGTGTCTCTATTCGTGTGTAGACTTATCAACCTTATCTGTTTAATTGTATTTACAGTTTGCGTGCAACACCTTTTATCTAACATATATGTGGTTTAATGTATAATTGTGTTGTTGTTTTCATTTTATTAATTTGTCTTCACAAAACTCTAAGGAAACATGAATGTGATACAACTATTTGCAGTTTACGGAATAATATTTCTTTCATCCAGAACAGGTAATTGATATTGTCTTTTATTCATAATATCTAATTGGACAGTCAGTTGTAATGTTAGTTCGATAGGTAAATTTGTTTTTGCTATCTTTGTTTGAAATAAGATGCATGTAATACCATATTAAAAGCGTTACTTTTTATTATGAGCGTTACCGATATTCAGAATTAAATTGGGCATAAACTATATCTTTTGAAATACTCATTATTTTAATTTATTTACTTAAACACATAAACATATATTTATTATACCGTAAGAATACGTCGTATCAAATTACTTTTTAAAATAATAGGCATATTCTTTATATTTTTAGGACTATTTAAACATATCGTCATTTTTCTTAGTATTAAAAACGTATTGCGCTGTTAAATAAATATGTTTGAATTAATAAAACAAAAATCTTGGCGTTGATACCTACGAAATATTTTTTTTTAAAATTGAGTATTAAAAGTTTAGTTTGAATATAAAAAGTGTTGTAACAGAAGAAATATTTCCCAAACCTGTGTAGATACCAGAAAAACCAGATTAAATATAACACATTTACGGTATGTTTTAGTTGTAACTAGAATATGTTCAATTTATATAATTGCATTTAGATTTTGTTAAACAAATTTCCACTATTATTTACTAAATCTACATAATATTTAAATGAGAGCAGCAGGGTTAGAGAAATGCCAACCCGCTGAAGAAGGACAACCCTACCAGCTGAGCTACACACTGACAACCATCCCAGCGTACAGGACGATGCTGTTGTGGTTGAAAGATGGTCAGCTGGTGTCCGAGTGTCCAGTGGAGGCTGGAGAGTGTAGCAACAACGATATCAGCTGGTTATACGCTAGAGTAGAGAAAAGAAATAACGGCGTGGAGTTTATCCTGGATATTCAGAACGTGACTAGAGAGAATGAGAAGAACGTGCAAGGCGTTTGGACGTTAAAAACTCACAGTATGGAGCCCACGTCTCAAGAAATGTACAGCTGTGCGCTACAAGTATACGGTTAGTGTTTGTAACATTGTAGATATCCCTTTAGATACTACACTTAGTATCAATAAAATTTTCTCAAAGTGTATTTCATGTATCATGTTTTAAACCTTTTAATGGTTTACATATTATCTATAATTGTATTGACCTTCTATAGACTGTTAAAACCGACATTAACTAAGAATTACACTACTGCGTTAGAAATTATTAACGTTAAGAGCTACTTATGTTTTTTTCAGCAAAAGCAGTAGATATATCTTGCGTTTCTGATGTAGTCACTAAAGGAGTCACTATTTCATGCAGTACAAGTAGGATATACCCTGAAGCTATGGTAAGTATAAAGTCAGAACGACAAGAGATATCTGATAAATAAAATGTTTTATTCTATGTCATATAATGTTTTCTAGCTTAAGAAAAAAGTATTTGAATATGTACGTATACATGTAGAAAAATAATATATATATATATATATATATATATATATATATATATATATATATATATATATATATATATACAAAATTATTTAAAATTGTTTAAACGTTTAATCTCAAAGTTAATATTTAGCCAAGTACATCATTTTTTCGCAGATGTTTGTTTATAGAAATGGCCACCAGTTTCAGTCGACTTCTTGTGCTAATAACGAAATCCCCGATAATCCAATGTATTTTGAGGCTGCTTGTAAGATTATCATCCCGGTAGAGAAATTGTATCTGAAAAGAAACAGCTTTGACATCAATATATTCCCAAATGTCATTGGCTTCAGCGAACTTAAATTTTTAAGAACGGTTAAAATCCTCACATTTCATATTGGTGAGTTGTTTTCTCGATATGAAACGTACGTTGTGGTAAACTGTGTTCCCAAGTATATGAATATTTATAACCTTTATTCATTTTCATTAGTGTTTTGAATTTTGTTTTTTTTAATTTAAAATATATTTTAGTTTTTTATGATTGCATAAAAAGACTTAGTGTTTTTAATTAATTGATTATTGTTTAATTTAAAAATAACTAAAATATTTACAAAGATATTTATAAAATTATTAATATTCCCGAGTACTTAAAATTTATAGTGTATATTTTCTAACTCTTTTAACCAATCTCTAGTTAGCTAATAATGCAGACAGCAATATTTTTGTAACCATAGAATTAACACATCTCACCATCAGCCCCAGGGCCTTTTACCCAGCAAAACTGTACGGAGGCTGGAACTGATGTAACATGCAAGTGCACGAGAATGGATTCCAAAAAGTTTAAGTCAAATTTTGACTGGTACTTGAATAACAGGATAGTAAAGCAGAAGTCGGATGTTTATACATTTGCTAAGGAACAAGACGGTTTGATTAAGATTTAATTTATAAATATGTATATATATATATATATATATATATATATATATATATATATATATATATATATATATATATATATATATATATATATATATATATAAACATTAAACGCAAAAGTATGAACTGTTTAAGAATTATTTTATTTATAATTTTAGTTTGACTATGAGCATTATGTACAATATGTGAATTCAAACTGTTTTAAAATTTACAGTAGCAAATAGCATTACCTGTCTCATCCATCCTGTTGACAGCACAGACGGTAAGATAACATTTTGGATTTGTTATGTATACTGGCACACTTTTATTTCTTAATTATTGTTTTTAATTCAAAAGTAATATGCGCTTATATCTTTGTTCTAGACAACATTGTCACTAAACATTCGACTGAAGTTTAAGTTAAGCATTCTTATTTATTTAGTTTTTTTAATAATTACATTAAAGTCAATTGACAGTTCAGCCTAAGAAATCTAATTCCATCAATCTAATCTTAAATATTAAAGCTCTAATGGATTATGTGGCTTTGTGAATATCTATGTATTATTATTCATTCTAGAAATTTACATTTTAATTGAAGTACAAAAACAAACCAAATATATTACTCTTTTAAAAAAAAATCTAATTTTGTCTGAAAAATGTAGACAAATTACATCCTTTTGCATTAACAATTTCTTTCTTTCCTTAATGTTTACGTTTAGGTTTGTATATGTTTGCCATTATTTTTGCGTTTGTAGTTGCGATTGTATTTATATATTTTCACAAACGTCCATAATTACATGTAGACGTTTTATTGAACATTGTATAAATTTGCGAACACCAGGGAGCGCTGGGTATATGATGCTTAATGAGCACATAAGTCACGGCCCTCTACAAAAACTTTTTCCTTAAATGCCAGTGCATTTAGTCCTAATATAGTACAAATATATAAAAACCCGTGTGCGCATTTATCTCTCTCTTTCTCTCCCTCCCTCCCTCTATCTCTCTCTCTCTCTCTCTCTCTACCCATCACATAATTTCTGAGGCTATGAGATCAGTATGTTCAGCAATATATGGAGAACACAAAGATAGGGACATTTGTTGAAAATAATATGTTTGATTTATTAATAGCATTAACTAATTTTTTTAAAGAAGGAAAAAAATTAGGTTTAGATGTAGGTTTAGTCTCAGTCTGGGTTATCTACAATCTACAAAGGCGCCTTTTTTCTTGGGTTAGCCTGTGTGCAAGATTTAGGTGTAAAAAGTTAAGACTAGATTTGGTATTAATGTGCAGTAGCTGCGGGTAGGTCTAGATTACCGGGTTAAGCAATATGGAATTGTCTAAATTAGGAGTCTAAACGCACAAAGAATTACTTCATTGATTGTTCAATAACAAAAATAGAATTAAAAACGAATGCCGAAAAGAATAAACAAAGTTAATGACAGGTGTCATGGCGCTCTCTGAAGCCCCAGATTACACTACCGTAGGGGCACCGCGTACGGCCCCTGGCTCGGTTAAATCATCGAATGTCGTGTGCCACTATGTCAATATTTTAGGGTGCGCTTTAAAACTAACGTAGGCTCCATATTGTTCAAGGGACGCCAAATCACATCCTGCCGGGTCGCCGCGAATAAATTTTTTCCCCAGAACCTCCCTAGAATTATTTTCAACATCTTCCCAAAAAAATTAATGGCGATCGGATGAAATGTGTAGTAATGCATGACGAACAAAAACATATACTTTCATTTTAATATAAATAGATGGTACATTTCTAGCATGTAACACTTTGTTGTTTGTTGTTGTTTTTTTTGTTCTAGAAAAGACTCATGGAGATAAGAGTGCATTGGTTGCAGTCACGACTCTTTTAGTTATTGCTGTTATACTTATTGTGGTGCTGTGTTTAATCTACATTAAAAAATGTGAGAACGTTTTCATATATTTTACATAAGCAAAATCTCATGAGTTAAACATCATCTGCACTTTAATATAAATCAAAATTAATGTACGTTTATTTCATCCTCTCAGTAATCTAAATATGCAACTAAAAATTGTTATTCGGAAGTGGAGTTTTTAAAACATATCTGTGGAAATCAAATAAATCTGTTAGATAATTCTACTTAAAACTTCTGAATTTTTTTTAATTAGTAGAAGAGTGTAATTTAGTTGTTTCTTTAAAAAAAGTATTTTATAAATATAACACTGATAAACAGTTTTCTGTGATATTGGAACGCTTCCTGCTTTAGTCATAACATTAAAAGAAGCAATTAACTAGTAAAATATCCTATTACAAAAAAGAATAAATCATTATAAACTGCTAATGTTCCATAATATTGAATATAATTACATTTATATTAATTAAAATTAGTATCAATTAAATTGTTTTCGATCAATATAATTTACTTTAAATGGATTTGTTTTTATTTGTCAAGATTTCAAGATAACAATATATTAACATTGACACTATTTTAAAGAAGAAAAAAATAAATGTGTATTGTATTGTTTACAGGCAAACCAGTCAGGGACGTTTTACCAGAAATTCGGTAAGCGAAACTGTTGTCAGCTATGTGGCAATGTAATAATGTATAATATGTGGTAGAGGTTGCAATCCGTACTGGTGTGCAATTCTTACCGCCTTCGTTTCGCTTGAAATGACTTATAGAAAATTGCTGGACCACATTTAGGTAGTTATGGGTTATAAAAATGATGAAAACACAAAAGAAAATAGCTGCATCGACCTTAAAAGAGAAGCGTTAAGTCAAATTTTGTCACACTTTGGTGTATTTTTAGGCTAACTTTCTAGCAATCTATGCTGCAGTTGATAAGCATATCGTGTTTTATACATACTAAGGTGCTGACAAAATCATTCTACTTCATTAATAAACACTTTCTCTTAGGTAAGCTTCGCAAATAACAATTATAGAGAAGAAATTGGGTTATATTCAGAACCAGCTAAATCGCACCACGCGGTGACGGGTAAAAAGGACCACTGGTACTAATTACCCGATCTAAATAGATATTATATTATAAATAGTTATATTCATGCCTTTTACGTTTAGAATCGTTTTAGAATTTTGTGTTTTCAAGTTCCTACCCTCCCTTTCATATTACCTAGTGTTTTTATTTTCATGGAGTATAATAATAAGTATAAGTTGTATTAATTTCGTACCCACATTTTTCTACATCATCAATAGGTTTCAGCATCTTTTATTTCGGAAAACGGGCAACTACAAGTACAAGGACTGAACATCTAAAAAAACACCTGAGTCCTATAGAGATAGTTCTTGAAAAAATTATATGATTAGTTAAAAGTTAACTCTTTTTTTGCCGGGAAAAACAAATTTCCATATAAATGTCACAATCGGCTACGTAAATAAGTATTTGCAAAGATTGGACAACTAATTCGGTTTCAAAAAATTAAGACACCCAGCATTAAATAAGCAGTAGGCTGAACCTTTACCAAGTTGTAGGGCCTCACATTATATAATTAATCATAAATAAACATATCATCTTTACATCATGTGCTACTATTTTACTTCATCTGTGGTACTATTTGTACACTTATTGGGATAATTAGTAGAGTTTTGTTAATTGTCTGAATTAACGTTTCCTTATTTTTCTTAATTATACATTGAAGCTTCGATTTTAACTCTAGGTAACAATAAAGATTGCTTAAAAGTAGAAATACTGTTTCCGACTTGAACTTTTTCAAATTAATATATATATATATATATATATATATATATATATATATATATATATATATATATTATATATATATATATATATATATATATATATATATATATATATATATATATATATATGAATATATAATACGAATTTCAGGTACTTCTATAAGAAGGCTGATAATAATGAAAGCTGTCGATCTGCTTCGAAGACTCCAGTCACAGAGATAGAAGCTAAGGACAAAGACGATGTTGAGACTGCTTTACTAGCTGATAAGTAAATTCAATGATTCCCTCATATATTACATGTTTTATTTTAGCTGTATATTTCCATAGCAAACGAACGTATTTGTTTATTTTATTTTTTTAATAAACTCGAATTTTTATGAGAAGCTTGGTTAAAATACTTTTTAAACTATAAATAATAGACGTTGTTAATCTTCTCTTTTTACTTTTAGATCAAAGAAACAAATTGTAGAGAACAATCGTGAGTTGCTGTTTTTTTTTTTAAATTTACCTTCATATTTTAACTGCATTGATAAACTTCGTTAACTTAAGTAAATCTTATGAATGTAAGATGACCAATTTTGGTACTTGTATAGTCAGTACTCTCGTAAAGATAACATTGTTTTGTTTAGTTGCCCTTTAGACGAGAAAGAACAGATATATAATTTGTATTGTTACACATTTATTACACAGTTTAACTGCCTTTTAAAAATCCATGTAATAATAATATAATAAATATAATAAATGGCTTAAGTAGCGTTTAGTTCAGCTTTACAAAAGGACTAAGACTGTTATAATTGCAATTTTCATACTAAAATGTGAATGCATGACTATTCCATCTACATGAAACAGATATGCAAGATTAATGACAATGCATTGGTACATGGTATTTACTATGTATATCTTATATATCCAAATTTACTTCTCAGCATCTTCGTTGCAACTAAAACCTGTTGATGAGTCATCACAAACAATGTAACACATTTACATTTATATAATCTAATAAAGGCTGAAATTAAAGTAGTTTACTTTCATAATATAACAAAGTGAATTAAATACTATAGGACCAACCAGAGTCGTATCGACCCTTTCCGGCGCCCGGGGATAAGCTTTCAATTTGGCGCCCCCTCAGGAACAACCTTTCAATTTTTTATTTGCACCCCTTATCAAACTTTCAATTTGCATCCCCCCCCCCTTTTAAACTTTCAATTTGTTTTTCCAATCAATTTTGAGGTCGGCGCCTGGGGACATATGTAACGCCCCCCCCCCCCTGCCCACACCCTCCCCCCTCGCTACGCCTCTGGGACCAACATCTATACTAAGAATAAAAGTTATATGTAAACTAAATGTATAAATTAACACATTTTTACTACAGTTTCAACTTGCTATACTTTTTAAAACTGTGTTCCCTATCTTTTTATTTTGATGCATTTTTGGTTTCCAGCCTCAAGTGCTACTTTTTTCCAACTTATTCGTGTAAAACATTGTGGTAATCTCGTTCGTTAGCATTTGAATTTGAATATTTATAGACACCATCCTCATAGTTTATCTTGATCTAGGTTCCACGGTAAATACAGCTCAATTTTAAATATATTGCACAGGGAAATTAAAGAAAATGATGTCCGCCCTGATCCCATTGGAATTTCTTCAAGTTCAAGGTCTGATAAAGAGCCCACCAAAAACGAAAACGTTGCTACTAGTGTAACTAACAACGTGTACGTTTTAATTCTTTTTAAATACATTTTTAAAAATAGTATTAAATATTTACTTATTATTCTATAAACTAACTACCACTTCTTTGCTCAACAATTCGCTGTATTTTGACATTTATATTTTAAATGGTATACATTTTAAGGCAAGTAAACAATAAGTCTGTTTTAAGTAATTATCTTTCAGTTACATTGTCCAAAAGAGTTTTTAAAATCCCCGCAATTACAAAAAAAAAGAAACAATCGATTTTTATTGACGTTTGTTAGTGAAACAATAATAAATTTAAAAAACAAAATACCTTGTTGAAAACATATGGAAGTAAAAAATTTAAAATCTTCACAAAGTTCATGACCCAGTAACAATTGTCGTTAATTAATTATTTTTTTCTGGTTTTGTTAACAGGGTTGTGGCTGATAGAAACATGTTGAAAACAACATCATCCATTTTACTGCTTGGTACACAGCACAGTAATAAACACCTTTTAAAAAGATCGATTATAAATGGAGATTATACTATTGAGAAAACAAAAAACTTGAAAATAGTTGTCGATTCAAAAAGCAGGGAAGTATTACTTCAAATTGCTAAACCTTCGATCGGAAATTTCCTTAACATTGAACTTCAGGATTTTGATAAAATATCACTGCATTACACTAAACGTGGTGACCAGGTTATCAAACTTGTAGACGGGCCTGTGTTTGAGGCACACAACGTACACAAATTCAACGACGATATAAAAAAGTGTATCGTTTTAAGTCAAGAAGGATATAATTCTATAATTGTGGCATTTACAGCAGACAGAGTGAGAGAGTGTAATTTATTGTTAAATATATTGCATGACAACTTCTCTGTGAATAGGAATAACGTTTTTCCAATGTTAATTTATGAAAACGAATATAAATTTGCTACGAAAATGATAAAAGAATATAATGCAATACTAAATGAGTATCAGGTGAGGTTTATAAAATATAACATTGAGAACCACACAAAGGAAATGAGCACATTTTTTACACTTGTGAATCAGATAACAACCACATGTACCAGTCATCTTCTGTGTAAAAATAAAGAAAACTTCCTGCAATACGGAGAATGGGAAGAGATTTTAAAAGAAATCTATTTACTTCTTGAAAAAGCTTTGATTGAGCGTATATCAATGCAGAACGAAGTTGAGGAACTTTTAGAACACTTAAAACTGCTGTGGAGCGAGTTTCAAGGCAGTAACGATGATAGACATCTGATAAATGATAGTTTTGATAATGAACGTGATAAAGGGGAAACTAAAGGTTTGGGAACCACAATCATTCAAACTGACACCAAACAGAGGTTGGTGTTGGACTCCAGCTTAATCGAAGACATAATACACATAATGGAAATTTTATGTTTACGCAATATTTATTTTGACACCGAGCCAATGAGGAAATGTAAAGAAATGTTAATGCATTCCTTTCAAGAGAGATATCAACGGTTTCATGATTGGTATGTGCGCACTGTAATAAAAGACAGAGATAATCTGCTAAATAGAAATATAATGCAGAAGCTGTCAAAAGGGATGAATTAGTAAATTGACCAAGTGCACACTGATAACAAATACAAATATTTCAATTTAATATTTTGCATTCAGTTTCGATTAATTAACATAAACCTACAAATACATAACAATTTTAATTAAAAATTTCTTTTAAGAGCCGATTGATTAAATATTTTTTTGTTTTGTTTTGTTTAACTTATTCTTTGATAAACATAACCTAAACAATAGCCTGTCTTTCTTTACTTTTATATGAATCTTCGCCTCCATCTTTAGTTTAAATATACTAATTGCTGGTGGGTTTTTTTTGTAATAAAAGTGCACTTTTTTGTTATTAGAATACTAACTAATACTAGTTTAGTCCGTTTTAAGCTAAACTAAAGCAATGTGTACTAAATGTGTAAAGAAAGAACAAAAGTCCAGCCCCTCTTCCCTAAACTCGCTAGTCAAACGACGGCCAGTTTATAAATCTGTTACATAATTTTGTGATAGGATCAAACGATTTCATTAGTCTTTACATCGTGGAACATAAAAGACACACATGTGTTAGTTAGTACTAGAATACCCGTCATCCGTTGGATAACTGTGGGTTTCGGGGGTCATCCATCAAAAAACATCACGTCTGTCACTCAGAGGCACAGCGACCCTTCCCGGCGCCCGGGGACAAACTTTTCAATTTGAACCCACCCCCCCCCCGCAAGATTTCGATTTGCAAACCCCCCCCCCCCTCAAGATTTTGATTTGAACCCCCCCCCCACCCAAACTTTCGATTTGCACCCCCCTCAACCTTTCAATTTATTTTTCCAACCCATTTTGGCGCCTTCTAAGGTCGGCGCCCGGGGACATATGCCCCCCCCCCCTCGCTACGCTACTGCAGTGTCACTTATCGTCACAAAAAACAGACCCCACATTCAAAAATATGTTTCTTATCTTTTAAAACACCGAAAACACCGATTTCGGACTATCCCTTCCTATACTGACGTCACATGTGACCTACTCAACTCTACTTCACCTGCCAAGTCTCAGACAACATGTTTTTATCGTTTAAAAAACAATTCCAGCCGAGCATGTCTCTGACCACACTATCCTTTCATATGCTTAGGACAAAGAAACAGATGAACTCTACTTCACCTGCCCTGTATCCTGCCAAGTTCAGATAGGCAACTTTATCATTCACATCTAAAAAAAAAAATTGAAAAAAAATATCACTGACATATTGGTCTAGAACCTGTGCCACCCGCATGAGAACGGACTACGCTACCAACTTAGCTATTTACTCTTGACGTCACAAATGAATTTTTATACTATACTTTGAGTCTCCTTATCCAACTTGATTTACGCGCATAGATCTAGAACTAAGTCTAGTAGCAGCAACTTTCAAATTAAATTTTATCTTAAATTAGCCAAACAAAGATTTATATAAAATAAAGAAGGTCTGAAATTATCTAGATCCAGATAGAATTATCTTGATCTAGATTCTACGACTCGTTTGCTTAAGTCTTAAGTTTAGTTTTTCTTGCTAGACCTAGAATCTAGATCTAATCATTAGCTACGCTCATAGGCCCGGAGCGAGCATTTCAAAATTACCATATTCCAAACAAAGATTTATATAAAATAATAAAGGTCTAAAATAGTTTAGTATATAGAAAATCATTATTAACTAAATCTAGATAGAAAATTGTCTATATTTTAGATCTACGACTGAGCTATATTTAGAATTTAAGTTTATAATTTAGCAAACTTACCGGCATCGAAGCCGCGTATGAATCTTAAGCTACGCTAATAGGCCCGGATCCAGCATTTCAAAATTTGCATATTCGAAACAAAGATTTATACAAAAGAATAAAGGTCTAAAATATTTTAGTATATTGAAACTCATTATTATCTAAATCTAGATAGAATTATCTATATTTTAGATCTACGACTGGTTTGCTTAAGTCTTAAGTTTAGTTTTTCTTGCTAGATCTAGAATCTAGATCTAGATCTAATCATTAGCTACGCTCATAGGCCCGGAGCGAGCATTTCAAAACTACCATATTCCAAACAAAGATTTATATAAAATAATAAAGGTTTAAAACAGTTTAGTATATAGAAACTCATTATTATCTAAATCTAGATAGAATTATCTATATTCTAGATCTACGACTGGTTTGCTTAAGTCTCGTTTTTTTTATTGTATTTATAACTATTAAATCTTTGATTTGATCTAGATTCTAGATCTAGAGATCTAGGCTAGATTCATAACTTTCCTTCGAAAGCTGATCTTTAGATCTAGAGAAATTTATTGTAAAACTAAATGAAAAAAAGACAGTTTAAAATTGATATAAGTGTTGGAACGTAATAAATACAGCAAACGGACGTTTTGTTAAAGTTATGACCGACAGAAAATTAGATTTAGAACGCGTTAAACTTGTGAATGGGAACACAATTTTCTTCGATAGACGCCGCCATTTTATTGTACTAAAGAGTAAACAAAAAACTGTATGAATAAATCAATACATTAATTAACGTCTTTAAATAAATTTGTGATTAACAGTCTGTCTTAAAACAAAAAATTTTCTCTACCTACATACTATTTTACAGCTCTCCACGATGAGTGCAACCGTGCGAGATAGTCAATCAGCCAAACAAACAAACAAACAAACAAATAAATATTCAAACATGTAAACAAATTTGACTTTTAGTAGTATACTAGAATACCCGTCATCCGTTGGATAACTGTGGGTTTCGGGGGTCATCCATCAAAAAACAACACGTCTGTCACTCAGAGGCTTAGCGACCCTTCCCGGCGCCCGGGGACAAACTTTTCAATTTGAACCCCCCCCCCCGCAAGATTTCGATTTGCAGCCCCGCCCCCCCCCCCCTCAAACTTTTGATGTGCACCCCCCTCAACCTTTCAATTTATTTTTCCAAACCATTTTGGCGCCCCAACATATGTCCCCCCCCGCCCCCCCTTCCCCCTCCACCTCCCCCCGCCTCCCCTTCCCCCCCCCCGCCTCCCCTCCCCCCCCTCCTCGCTACGCTACTGCAGTGTCACTTATCGTCACAAAAAACAGACCCCACATTCAAAAATATGTTTTTTTATCTTTTAAAAACACCGAAAACACCGATTTCGGACTATCCCTTCATATACTGACGTCACATGTGACCTACTCAACGCTACTTCACCTGCCCAGTGTCCCGCCAAGTCTCAGACAACATGTTTTTATCGTTTAAAAAACGATTCCAGCCGAGCATGTCTCTGACCACACTATCCTTTCATATGCTTAGGACAAAGAAACAGATGAACTCTACTTCACCTGCCCTGTATCCTGCCAAGTTCAGATAGGCAACTTTATCATTCACATCTAAAAAAAAATTGAAAAAAAATATCATTGATATATTGGTCTAGAACCTGTGCCACCCGCATGAGAGCGGACTACGCTACCAACTTAGCTATTTACTCGTGACGTCACAAATGAATTTTTATACTTTACTTTTGAGTCTCCGCGCATAGATCTAGATCTAAGTCTAGTAGTAGAGTCTAGTAACTTTCAAATTAAATTTTATCTTAAATTAGCCAAACAAAGATTTATATAAAATAATTAAGGCCTGAAATAGATTCTAGATGTATTAAGACCTGAAATAGATTCTAGATGTAGAATTTACATTAAGTTTAGATCTAGAATTTACATTGAGTCGAGTGACCTAGATCTAGGCTAGATCTAGATCTAGATCTAGGCTAGATTCATAACTTTCCTTCGACAGCTGATCTTTAGATCTAGAGAAATTTATTGTAAAACTAAATGAAAAAAGACAGTTTAAAATTGATATAAGTGTTGGAACGTAATAAATACAGCAAACGGACGTATTGTTAAAGTTATGACCGACAGAAAATTAGATTTAGAACGCGTTAAACTTTTGAATGGGAACACAATTTTCTTCGATAGACGCCGCCATTTTATTGTACTAAAGAGTAAACAAAAACCTGTGACGTCACTATTCCCACAAAGTTTAGTCAATGTTTTAACATTTTTAAAAAAATGGGTAACTCTGCGTATGAATAAATCAATAAATTAATTAACGTCTTTAAATAAATTTGTGATTAACAGTCTGTCTTAAAACAAAAAATTTTCTCTACCTACATACTATTTTACAGCTTTCCACGATGAGTGCAACCATGCGAGATAGTCAATCAGCCAAACAAACAAACAAACAAAAAAACAAACAAATAAATATTCAAACATGTAAACAAACTTGACTTTTAGTAGTATACTAGAATACCCGTCATCCGTTGGATAACTGTGGGTTTCGGGGGTCATCCATAAAAAAACATCACGTCTGTCACTCAGAGGCATAGCGACCCTTCCCGGCGCCCGGGGACAAACTTTTCGATTTGAACCCCCACCCCCCCCCCCCCCCGCAAGATTTCGATTTGCAACCCCCCCCCCTCAAACTTTTGATGTGCACCCCCCCCCCCACTCAAACTTTCGATTTGCACCCCCCTCAACCTTTCAATTTATTTTTCCAAACCATTTTGGCGCCCCAACATATGTCCCCCCCCCCCTTCCACCCTCCTCCTCCCCCCGCCTCCACTTCCCCCCCCCCCCCCGCCTCCCCTCCCCCTCCCGCCCCCCCCCTCCTCGCTACGCTACTGCAGTGTCACTTATCGTCACAAAAAACAGACCCCACATTCAAAAATATGTTTTTTATCTTTTAAAAACACCGAAAACACCGATTTCGGACTATCCCTTCATATACTGACGTCACATGTTACCTACTCAACTCTACTTCACCTGCCCAGTGTCCCGCCAAGTCTCAGACAACATGTATTTATCGTTTAAAAAACGATTCCAGCCGAGCATGTCTCTGATCACACTATCCTTTCGTATGCTTAGGACAAAGAAACAGATGAACTCTACTTCACCTGCCCTGTATCTTGCCAAGTTCAGATAGGCAACTTTATCATTCACATCTAAAAAAAAATTGAAAAAAAAAATTTCATTGACATATTGGTCTAGAACCCGTGCCACCTGCATGAGAGCCGACTACGCTACCATTTTAGCTATTTACTCGTGAATTCACAAGTGAATTTTTATACTATACTATGTGTCTCCTTATGCAACTTGATTTACGCGTATAGATTCTAGATCTAGATCTAACTCTAGTAGTACTAACT